GGGGTGAAAATATCAGATCAGACATGTGTAGCGTTACGATCAGTGTATGAGGGCAGCCTACTCACGCGCCTAGCACTCCACCACATCATCATCAGAGCTGCCCCCATCCACCTCCACCACATCCTCCCCCTGCCGCTTCCTTGCCCCTGTCTCCCCATCTTCCCCTGCACTCTCCTCTTCCACTCCTCTCCTCCCTCTCCCTCTCCCTCTCCCCCTCCCCGTCCCTCTCCCCCTCCCCCTCCCCCTCCCCCTCCCTCGCCCCCTTCCACTTGCCCCCCTCCCTGCACCGGCACCGTCCCCCTGCTGCTGGTGGCAGCGCATGCGCCTCAGCATGCCGCGCAGCTCCTCCACGTCGCCGCCCGCCTCTCCCGCCTGTCAGTGGCGCACACGGGGTCGGGGGCGGGAGGAGGGTGGGTGTGGGGGGGGAAGGGGATGGGGGGGGAGAGAAGGGGATGGCGGGTGGGATGGGCTTGAGGGGCGGGAGGGGGGCGAGGGCCAAGAGAGGGGAGAGGATAAGAAACAGTGGCGGCAATGTTGGGAGGGTGTGTTTAGCGCAGGGAACAGAGTGAAACAGGCGTGGGGAAGATGGGATGACGAGAGCACAGCAGTAGGGGGGATGAGGGGCACAGAGATACCTGCACTCATCTAACACCACTTCCCTCTGCAAGGCTTGAACCTCCAATATCATCCACCAGCAACCCCATCCACCAGCAACCCCATCCACCAGCAACCCCATCCACCAGCAACCCCATCCACCAGCAACCCCATCCACCAGCAACCCCACGCACCACAGCACAGAACCACCTGCCCTCCCATCATTCTGCGCCCTTCTTTCCCCTCCCCCTTCGCACCAGCATGTCTCGCAGCGTTGCCTGGTCCAAGTCAGGGTGGGCCCGCATCACTTCCTGCAACCCCTCAGGGACGCCTGCCAGCGAGCTGCACGCCACCAGTGCCGCTGCTGCTGACGCCTTTCCTGCTGCCGCCCGCTCTGTTTCTGCCCTTTCCACTGCCGTGCCCACTGCTGCCATCCCCTTTGCTGCTGCGCCCTGTGCTGCTGCATCCGCCGGTGCCGATGCTGTGGTCACACCAGCAACGCCACCTGAAGTGGGACTCAACGCACCTACCACTCCCCCAGTCTTACCGCCATCCACTCCACCTTCCCTTCCCCCGTCCACCTCTGCCTGTGCGCCCTTGCCCTTCCCCTCACCCGCTCCTCCTGTGCTCCCCGCAGCACCAATCGCATCCAACGCTTGCACTCCCTTGCTCCGCCCCTCTTCCTTCACCCCCTCCTCTCCTGCACCTTCGATGTTTCCTTCACGCTCCTTCCCTTCGGCCTGCCCTTTGCTGTCCTTCTCCTCATCCTCCGCGTTGTTCTCATCCTCTTCATCCTCCTCTCCCTCTGCGCCCTCCTCCCCATCCTCCTCACCGCCCTCCCCTGCGTCCTCCCCCTCCTCTGCATCTGGTGCATTCGTCTCTGCGAGCAGCATGGCGATCAAATCCGCCATGTCGTGGTTCACCTGCCGTCATGGAAGGAGGGGGTGAAGTGGGGGTGCAAGGGGCAAGGGGCAAGAGAGAGCGTGTGGGAGCGCGTGTCTCTGCGAGCAGAATGGCAATCAGGTCTGCCATATCTTGATTGACCTGCCGCCAGGCAGGGGTCCAAGGGGGGAATGTGAGAAGAATGCGGCGATTGCAAGAGGGAGCATGTGGGAGAGGGCATGAGATTGCGACAGTGCAACAGAGAGAATTCACGGAGAGGACAGAGCTGGGTTGTTTGAGCAGAGGAGCGATGCTGCAAAGGCGGTTGGACACGAGGGAGAATAAGAATTGCTAAAACATCGTTCCCATGCCTGCCTGTCTCGCAAAGCCTCACAATCTCACCTGAACCCATCGTGCTCTCACCTACACCTGCCCCTCAAACCCCTTCCCTCACCTGCAAGCAGGTGAGCACGTCAGAATGGCAGCGGGGCAGTGAGCAGCGGGGCAGTGAGCAGCGGGGCAGTGAGCAGCGGGGCACTGCTTCCCCATCGTGTGTGCTCGCACGCACCCGACCACCATTTCACACACCCCAATGGCCACCTCGTGAGTACCTTACCCCCCACCCTCACCTGCAGCCGGGACAGCACGTCTGCAATGTCAGCGGTGCAGCGTGCGGCGGGGCACTGTTTGACGATCTTCTGTGCGCGCAGCGACCGCCCCGCGGTCTTGGAGCGGTCGCGTGTGTCGGCCTGCCCGTGGAAGCGCTGCTGCAGGCACGCGAGGCAGAAGCTGTGCTGGCAGGGCGTGGACACCGGGGCGCGCAGCACTCCCCCACACAGCAGACACGCGAAGTCTGAGGGGAGGAGAGGAGGAGGGGTGGAAGGGAGGGGCGAGAAGAAACGAGTTCTCTTAGGTGGGGAGTGGGTGGGGAGGATGAAGAGGGAGGTTTGGGTGTGGCTGGGTGGTGGAGGAGTGAGATGGAGAGGTTTGTGAGATGGAGAGGTTTGTGAGATGGAGAGGTTTGTGAGATGGAGAGGTTTGTGAGATGGAGAGGTTTGTGAGATGGAGAGGTTTGTGAGATGGAGAGGTTTGTGAGATGGAGAGGTTTGTAAGATGGAGAGGTTTGTGAGATGGAGAGGTTTGTGAGATGGAGAGGTTTGTGAGATGGAGAGGTTTGTGAGATGGAGAGGTTTGTGAGATGGAGAGGTTTGTGAGATGGAGAGGTTTGTGAGGAGCGTTACTGCGTCTTTGAGTGCCCTCGATTCTGGCGATTTACCAGAAGATAACTTGCACTATGTCAAGAAGAGCAGGGGAGAAGCAGCAGCGGCAGCAGCCCTACCTCCTCGTAGGCTTTGGAAGACGCCGAGAAGATTTCGTTCAACTTTCCTGTGGCTAGCACGCCTGAGCAGACCTGCTATTGTTAGTTACCACTTTCTACCGCTTTAACGGCAAAATATGGATTGCACTCAACCGCTCAGCGGCGACTGCTCAACCAAAGCTGAAGGCAACCACACGGCAAAAAAGTGTCCACATGTTACCAGATCTGAAGTGTGACAGGTGTGCAAAGAAAGCTCCAGACGGCTCGGAAAATGTTTTTAGGCATTTGACTTCTGAACCTCCGTAGGAATCTGCGAGGGTGCGGTAGACACTACCTAAGCCCTCTAGCTCCGGTTACGACCGACCGTGTCTTTGCGTTGTGTAATGCACTTTCACCCACCAAAGAAAAAAAACTTCTGACGCCTTTTACCATAAGCAACAGCAACTCCGCCTTACCAGCAGGCACAGCCCACAGCACCCTCTCATCTCCCAGAGCCTGCCACACCTTTGGCGAGTCTCTTCTGCGCCAGCGCCCTCCGCTTCTTCACGGCCTCGCCCGTGCTGCCCACCGCGAGGCGCTTGGCGGAGCGCCATGCTGTGCTGGTGCCACCGATGGGCTTGGTGCATGCTGGGGGCGCGCGCACCCACCCCCACTGCTGCTTCTCCTCCTGTGGACGCGGGAGTGAGAGCACGGGAGGAACAGCCTTGAGTGTGCACCGTTTACCGCCAAACCAGCTCGAGACTGGTTGACTTGGCTTGTGAGGGGGGGCTTGCCGAATGTGGGTGATTCTTCGGTTTGGCTCGTGCTTGAGTGCATCGCGGTCACACGCATCAAGCACGCATCAAGCATGCGTGTTCATCCCAACAAAGAAACATTAGCAGCTGTCACCCCGTGCCACTCACAAGCAAGCCCCGCACGCGCCGCTCACAAGTCACTCCAAATTGTGCCACTCATCCCGCACCCATAGACACCCACCCACACACATCAACGCACTCACAATCCAGTCCCAGGCGGGCGGGCCGGTGCGCTCTGTGACGTCCACTGCCTGCTTCAACTCCGCCACCTGCGGCAGCTTCCTCCCCGGGCTGTCCCCCACGTCGTCACTGGGGAAAGAGGAGTGGGGGGGAGTGCGAGGGGAGAGAAGCGCGGTTGTGTTTAGAGAAAGGGAGGAAAGATGCTGCGTGACGTTTCGAATGGGAGAGGTTAACGAAGTGATGGGGAATTGAGCAGGAGAGTGCTGTGAGGGACACGAGGGCCAAGCGGGCCACACGGGAGAGAATGGATGGCCAGAGCTGCTTGGCGCGCACTGAGTGTGATGGGCCTGTCAGTGCCTGGTCTGGGGGGTACCTACCTGGTATGGGCTGAGGAGAGGGGTACGGACCTGGTATGGGCGGTAGAGGGGTACGGACCTGGTCCAGGGGGCGGGCGAGTTGTCACAGCGCACGAAGAGGTAGCGACACACGAGGAAGCCCTGCGGGTGGGGGGGTGTTGCAGCAGCAGGGGAGGACAGAGGCGCTGCTCATTCCTCTCGCACTTGCGCTTGCGATAACACCCACGAACCCAAGTGACTTCCCTTCCGCTCCTACTCATGGCGACCCTGCTTTCGCCCTCAACACGGTGCTCTCACCATTTCAACACGGTGCTCTCACCATTTCAACACATGGCCCCTTCCGACGCTTTCTCACCACGACTCTCCTCCCTTCCCCCTCCCCTCTCCCTCCCTTCCCCCTCCCCTCTCCCTCCCTTCCCCCTTTCCTCACCACTTTACTCTTCTTGCGCCAGCAGCGCTCGATGCGGTAGACGCCGTCGTACCGCACGCCTGCCTGGGGTGCATAGCTGGACCGCCGCTCCTTCTCCGACCTGCAGCGCGGGCGCAGTGACGCATGCGTGCGGGATGCGACGGGACGTCATGCGATGTGGTTGGCGGAGAGGTGTGCGCATTGGAGAGGGTTAGACGGCAGTCACAGGGGAATGCACTTGCGCGGGAGGAGAGAGGATGGAAATGCAGCGGGAGGGGAGGGGAAGGATCTCAAGACGGGATGCACAGGTGGTTGCATGCAACATACCGCACAGATGCATGCACGCACGCTCACACACGCACACACACAGATACAAGCACACACGCACGCACGCATTCGAGCATGACCGCACCCCAGGCGCAGCCATGCATGCAAGAGGGACGACACGCGCAAGCAGAGCGGCGCACCTGACGACGCGCACGGGGTAGCCCTTGAGGCAGCTGAGCCTGAGCGCCTGGTTGCTCTTCTCAAAGCGCTGGTCGAACGCGTGCACCTTGTTGGTGCGCTTGTTGCCGCTCAGATCCCGCCCCCCACTGCGCCACATGATGGAAAGGACGGGGGATCGTTGGGGGATAGGAGGGTCAGGGGAAGTGAATGGAGAGACGGGGCAGCAATGGAGAAGGGTAAGTGGCGGGGAACATGCATGAACCTTGAACGCATGCCTATTCCCATCTGCGCCATGTGTTGCCTCCCCCCTCTCCTCTCCTCTCCTCTTCTCTCCTCTCATTTCCCCCCCCCCGCCTCCCCCCTCTCCTCTCCTCCCCTCTCCTCTCCCTTCCTCTGAACCCTGCTAACGACTACCCACCTGCCAGTGTAGAGGAACCACTCGCCGTTGTCCTCGTCATCCTCATAACCTCCCGACAGCGCCACTGACTGCGCGCCATGGTGGGACTGCCCCGCGATGCCTGCCACGTGCGGCAGGTGCGCGCCCCACTGCCGGCACTCCAGCCGACTCGCCCACGTCTCGCCCACCTCCACGCCCGTCCCCCTCTCCGGATCGTACTCCGCCGTGATTGGCCCGAAAAAATCCCCCGCTATAGTCACAAATATGCGGCCCGAGGCGGCGTTAGAGAGCCCCTTCCGCACGGCGCGATCCGTGGTGAACGCCTGATCGGGCCGCTTCTCGTTGCAGATTGGCTCGTACGGCTTCGCTGGTGCTGACGTGGACAGCCCGCCGGCGGCCGCGCGGGCGGCGGCGGCCTTGGCGTGGCGGATGGCGGCGACGATGACGGGGTTGATGCGCGGCTGCTTCATCATGTCGGGCGGCACCGCGCGGCGGCACTTGGCGCAGCTGCGCTTACCCTGCGCCAGCCACTTGCGGAAACACACGAGGCAGAAGTTGTGGCCGCAGGGGGTCTGGCGGGCATTGGGGGGAGAAAGATGGGGGAAAGGGGAGTTGAGGGGGCATGAGGAGAGAATGGACGAACGGGGGGAAAAGGGATGAAGAGAGGCGGGCGGCGGGGGGAATGAGTGACGAGCGCAGCTATGGAAGCACGAGGGCAATGAGGAGGGTCGCACGGTGACGGGGAGGGAAGGGTGGAGGGAGGTCGCACGGTGACGGGGAGGGAAGGGTGGAGGGAGGTCGCACGGTGACGGGGAGGGAAGGGTGGAGGGAGGTCGCACGGTGACGGGGAGGGAAGGGTGGAGGGAGGTCGCACGGTGACGGGGAGGGAAGGGTGGAGGGAGGTCGCACGGTGACGGGAAGGGAAGGGTGGAGGGAGGTCGCACGGTGACGGGGAGGGAAGGGTGGAGGGAGGTCGCACGGTGACGGGGAGGGAAGGGTGGAGGGAGGTCGCACGGTGACGGGGAGGGAAGGGTGGAGGGAGGTCGCACGGTGACGGGGCGGTCGACGAGGTCGTGGCAGATGGGGCACTTCATCGCCTCGCTGAAACACGCTGCCGCCGCCTCCGCCGCCTCTGCCGCGTTTACGCCCCGCGGCGTCGCACTCGCCCCGTCCGCGTGCGCCCCGCCGCCGCTCTCTCCCGCGCTCGTCGTCGCCTGGCGGCTCACGAGCGCCTGACGCTGCCTCGCCTTCTCCGCGTCGCTCAGCGACGAGTCGCTCTGGATCGCACGGATTCTCGCCCGCAGGTCGCTTTCGCCGACGTTACCCACAGTTGCCGCCGCAGCATCTGCCTCTCTCGGCGCTTCAGCTTCGCCGGCCGCCGCATCAGACGCGGCACGGCCGTCTCTGCCGCCGCCGTCGCCGCCAGGCGCGCGGTTCATCTCTGCCTCGACCTCGTGGCAGTCGGGGCAGTGCCACGTGCCGGCGGGTGCGGCGGTGAGGGGCGGCACGAGGCACGGCATGTGCCATTCGCCGCGGCACGCGTCGCACACGAGGACGCGGTCGTCGGGCGGCAGCGTGTTGCATTGCATGCACACGCCGTCCGTGCCGCACGACCGCAAAAGCACGGCTGGCGGCGCTGCTGCCGCCGGCATTGCTGGCGGCATTGCGCGTGAGGAAATTGGTTGGCGCTGAACGCTGCTGCTGCTGGCGACCACCGAATGCGGAACGCTGTTGCGATGCTAAGTGGGCTTGTGGTTTGAAGAGGTGTGATGTCCTGTGCAAGCTAGTTGAGAGCGGACGCCTTTTCTGGTTTTGCAAGCAGTCAGGTTGGAGTCTTGGGGGTTGCTCGATGCTTGCGTGCTTCGCGCACGAGAAAGACCTTGGGATGTAGATGGTGGGAGTGCCCCAGATGGATTTGGTTTTCGTCGAGTCGTGCGTGATTGGTGATCGAGGGGATATTTTGGCGGGAAGTTCAAAAGCATGAAGCAACAAAACTTGGCGTCACTCCCACGAGTCGGTAACACCCAAATTTCGAGATAGCCTAACTCCTTACTTTCTTAATCACTGCCTTTGTCATGCAGTTACCGAGTTTGCACTGATGCGTACAGCAATACCTTCCCTCCTCCTCTCCCCTCCCCTCCCCTCCTGTGTTGCTTCTGACCTCTCACGTTCCTCCCACACCCTCCCGTCTCACGTCCCGCCGTCTTCTCTCCCTGCCGCCTCTTGTTTCTCCACTGCTCAAAGATTCGTGCCACGTACTCAAATCGCGCAAGCTACCACATCGCCAGCGGCGGAAGCTGCATGGCTTTCGTCCGGGCCGAGAGGCCGCCTTTCGCGTCGTGAACATGCGGAAAGTTTCGCGCGAATTTATGACTCTAGTCACTCTTCCGTAATTTTTTTTCGCGAGCAGCATGGCGAGCGAGCTGCCGATGCTGACGCGCAAGGAGCAGATCGACGCGTTCCTGTGGAACACCATCGATGCCGTGCTCGTGCTGCGCTTCGGCCACTCCGACGACCCCGCCTGCATGCAGCTCGATGACGTGGTGAGCCGTGATTGGCCGATGCTGGGGCGGCCGCCGCGAAGGTGCAAGCGACGGAAGGGGCCGTGGTGGTGCTGTTGATGGTACCCATGCTCGCGATGAGTGACAGAGTTGTGGCAGAGCATGAGTTGCTGGCGATGCGATGCTGTGCGGCAGCGCTGCATGGCCGTGCGCCCATGCGTTGCCCACTTGACCTCATCCCCGCTCTATCCCCACACCCTCCCCCTCGCCGCCCTTTCTCTGTCTCCACGCCCGCACTTGTCGCCGCCAATCACGGCTCGCCAGCTAACGCGGGCGGCGACGGACGTGAGCGGGTTCGCGCGGGCGGCGCTGGTGGACGTGAGGGCGGCGGGCGTGGCGGCGTACGTGGCGTGCCTGGACGTGCAGGTGCTGCCCGCGTGCGTGTTCTTCTTCAACGCCACGCACATCAAGATGGACTCGGGGTAAGAGGGGGGTGAGGTGAGAGCGCCTTGCAAGGGGGTGGCCGGCCAGGAGGGAGAGGGGGGGAGGTGGAGCAGGGGAATGGGTGAGCGTGAGCCGGGGGTGAGTGTTCTTCTTCAACGCAACGCACACAAGATGGATGCCAGGTGCGCAGGGAGTGTGCGCAAGTTGCAGGGAGGAGGAGGGGAGAGGCAAGGGTAGGGATGGTGGGCGTGAGGGGGGGGACATGAGTGTTCTTGTTCAACGCCCCGCATGTCAAGATTTCGCCGGGTGTGCAAGCGGGGAGCATGGGGTCTCGGGACAGGGAAGGAGAAAGGGAGAGTGGGGGGTTGCAATGGTGGTGGGAGAGTGGGTGCGGGGTGGGCGTGAGAGGGGGGTGCGTCTGATTCCCCGCCACGCCCGTCACGATGGGTGCCAGTTGACGTGTGGGACCAAGTGCTCTCATGGGCACGAGCACGGGCGGTGACGGGAGGTGAGCAGGGGCAGGAAATGAGCAGGGGGCGGGGCGTGTTGTGTGCATGCTTGGGACTTACCGTCCTTGTGACACGCAGGTCCTTGCTTGGCCATGCAACCGCGTGTCCTCTCTATTGCGTTGCTTACAATTCCCCGTCTGCCATTTGCTCCACCTCTCACCCCTCCCGCTACTGCTGCTGATCCCTCCTGCCCTGCCCCCCTGTCCTGCTCCCCTCCCCTCCCCTGCTGCCCCCTCTCCACCACTTCTCCCCCCCTGTGCGCCCCTCCCCATGCACACGCGCCCGGCAGCACGGCGGACCACAGCAAGTGGGTGGGGCCGTTCGCATGCAAGCAGGACTACATTGATGTCGTTGAGGTGCGGGGGGGAGGGGAAGAGGTGGGGGGAGAAGGAGGAATGGGGGGTGGTTGTGGGGGGTTACGTGGGGGGGCCTCTTTGCCAGCAAGTGGGTGGCGCCGCAAGCACTGCTACATTGACGTCGTGGAGGTGAGGCAGAGGGGGAAGAGGGCGGAGAGGGGACAGGGGCGAAGGACGGAATTGGGGGGAGGCGGGCTAGGGGGAGAAGGGAGGGAGGAGAGGAGGGACAGAAAGGGGAAAGGGGACTGGACGGTGGTTGTGAGGAGGTACGTTGGAGCAGTTAGGTTAGGGCGAATAGATGGATGTGGTGGGAAGGACGGGGGAGAGGGAACGGGAGGAGGGGTTTTGAGGGGGTTGGGATGGATGGGGCGAAGGAGCAGGGCGCAGGGGTAGCGGGGATACTGGGGATGGACAGGGCTCGTTGCAGTGCAAGCAGGGAGTGCTGCTGTTTGCATGCTGCTTTCTGCCTTCTGCACATCCCATGTGCATCCCATTGCCCACTCATGCACATCCACTCTTTGGCCTCTCCCCATGTTTCCGTTGTCCTATTTCTCCATTTTCCTCCAATTCTACTTTCTCTTCCCTATCCCTTCCTCTCCCCCCCCCCCCCCCCCCCTCACCCCATCGCTCCCCCTCTTCCCATCCCTCCGTATCGCACCCTCGGGCAATAGACCATATACAGGGGAGCCATGAGGGGCAAGCTCATAGTCACATGCCCGCTGCCCAAAGACCGCATTCCCCACTACGATCTGCTTTATCAAGGCTTCTAACTTATCCCCTGCTCACTCATCCGTGTTAGGGTACATTGCTGGCGTGCGTTTCAAAAGCCTCGCCTCTCAAAAGACGGGTACACTTCTGTGGAAGCATTTGCTTGTTGAGTGTAATGTGGACACCGCCTCCTTCGATAATGTATCTTCTTAGGAAGGTATTTTCTGGAAATATTGTACCATACTCTAGGGCATAATGTGGTAGTATTTAGTGCCTACACTACACTACACACCCTCGGATCTGACAAACAAGACAAAGAAAAGCAAATTACACGGGCAGTGCTCAGGGCACAGCCTCAAAACCAACCGCCACACATGGTCAAGGCAAAAACACAGGTTCTGTTTGCCAATGGCGGCAGGCAGCAGAACTTTATATTCGAGTCAAGACTGCTGCTGCTGAGTGGAACAAAAGGAGACATGAACGACCCAGACCAGCTTGCACCGTAGCAATACCAGGAAGCCCGGGCGTGCGCTGTACTACCGTGACTAGGGTGGTAATGTAACACATGTATGCAAGGAGGGTACGGGTTGCCCTGAGGTGGGTAATGGTGTCCGTGTGGCGTGATCATGTTCACATGGTCACATGCGGTGAAATGTGGTGACACGCGGTGACATGTGATATCATGAGAAAATGTAGTAACACATGCCAAGTGCCCTGCTTGCAATGAGCAAACCCCGGCAGCAGTGACTGACAGCTGCTCTGTCTGCGGAGCAACCAAGCCTGCTGTGTCATGTCGGCGAATTGGAAGGAATGCAGTGCTCGTGGTTGTCTTGAGCCATGAGCCATGAGGGTGAGTGACAGTCGCGCCAACAACCCTGCCAGTGTTGGTTCAGCCCCCTGCACCGCGCACACTGCTGCCTGCCTCTGCTCTCCCTCATAAAACGTCATATGCATCTGCTTCTGTCTGTTATACCCCTCTCTCTCTCTCTCTCTCTCTCTCTCTCTCTCTCTCTCTCTCTCTCTCTCTCTCTCTCTCTCTCTCTCTCTCTCTCTCTCTCTCCATCTGCCTCTGCCTTTTTCTACCTCTGCATCCTCCGTTACACCCCAACCCCTCCCTGCTGCTGCTTCTCCCCATCCCCCTCCTCCTCACCCACCTCCCCATCACCGGCAGTTGCGCCACCAACCCGGTCCGAACTTAGGCCCGGCCACATAAGCCACGACAACGGTGATGTCATCCAGCTTGCCCCCATAGTACCGGTACCCCGCCTCCTGCGCTGCGCGCGCAAAGGGCGAGATGCGGATGCGGTCCTGCGCGCGCGTGCGTGCCAGCGTGGCGATGTGCTCCGCCGTGTGCTGTGGCTCGCGGCCCGCCAGCAGCGAGTGCATGACGGTGGAGGCGAGCTCGGAATCGAACACGTTGTCGAACAGCCCGTCCGTGCCCAGCACCACTACATCGCCCGCTGCCACCGGCAGGGAGAACACCTGTGAGTGGAGCGAGTAGGACGAGGGGAGGGCAGGAGGGTAGGAGGGCAGGAGGGCGGGGGGGGAGGACGCATGGGACGAGGAGATGGGTGGTGGGGGTGAGCTTGAGGTGAAAAGCGTTTGGCAATCAGCATCGCGTGGGCGAGTGGCCTTCACGGATCAAACAAGGCATTTGAAAGGGCGGTGCAGAGGGCAGCTGTTCCCAGCACGACTACATCGCCCGCTGTTACTGGCAGGGAGAACACCTGTGCGGGGGTGGAAAAGGGGGGAGGTAGAGAGGAGGGGCGGCGGGAGGATGCACGGGACGAGGAGTTGGGTGGGGGAGGTGGGAGAAAGGGCGGCTGGCAGATAGCATACCCGCGGCTTTGTGATTGCACTTGCGAGGGCGGGGGGAGAGGGTAGTGGGGCGGGCACACAGGAGGAGAGGAGCAAGTAGATAGTGCGCATGAGAGGAAAAGAAGGTTGTGTATCAAAGCAGTGGTTGATGGGCATAGGACGACGTGGGTGGGTGGTGGGCGATACAGCAAGTGCGGCAGGGCTGGCAGACAACACCGCGTGGGCAATAAGAGTGCCCTGGTGGAAAGCGTCTTTGGCGGATCCAATCCAATCCAATCCAATCCAACCCAATCCAAGCAAGTATGTGAGAGTGCACTGCAGTGGCTGGCTCTACAATCAGCGTAAGAGCCTGCAGCACCCATGTGTGCGTGCGCCGCTCACCTCTGCATTCATTCATGTGCACCACCCACCGCTCTGCACCACAGTGCACAGCTCACCCACCTCAGCGGCGGAGGGCGAGTCACCGCCGTCACTGCCGAGCTGGAAGGGGAAGTTGAAATCGTGCTGCTGCGAGGGCGACTTGAAGATGATGCGCCCATTGCGCACCACCACAAACCCACTGTCGCCCAGGTTCGCCGCCTGCAGCCGCTGCCAGGGGGAGAGGGGGAGAATAGGGGATGGTCGCAGAGAGGTGGAGGGGAGGGGCCAAGAAAAAGGTGGGAGGGGGTGACGGAGAGGAGCACAAGGAGGTGGTTTGGAGGGGGAGTAGGGGCAGAAAACACATAGAATAGAATCGAGAGAAGGGGTTTTGGGCAGTGGGTATGATCATGGAACTTGGACAGGGCACACAAAGAACATCGAGCACACAAAGAACATCGAGCACACACGGCTTGATGCATCCACCTCTCACTGTGTCACGGCAACCCCTTCATCCCCCCATCCCCCCAAACCCTCCCTCCCTCCCTCCCCCCACTCCTCCCTCCCTCCCCCCACACCCCTCCCTTCCTCTTCCCCCCCACTCCCCTCCCTTTCTCAACCCACTCCTCTCCCTCCCTTCCCCCACTCCCCACCATCCCTCCCCCCACTCCTCTCCGTCAGCTGCTTACGTCAGCAGTGAGCACCACAACGCACGCGGTGCACGAGCCCTGGCTGCGCGTCTTGGCGTGCGCTGACGTCAGCACGCGGAGGGTGTCCGCGCACCCCTTGGGCTCGCGCCTGACGGCCGCCTGCACCTCCCCCATCAGCTCGCGCGCATACGCCCCCGCGTCCACCCCCACGTCCGCCCACCCGCCCACGCCGTCCGCCACCCCTGCCATGGCAGCGCGGAGGAAGGGCAGCGCGGGGAAAGGACAGCGCGGGGAAGGGCAGCGCGGGGAAAGCGCAGCGCGGCGGTAGGGCAGCGCGGGGAAAGGACAGCGCGGCGGAAGGCAGCGCGGGGAAAGGCAACGCGACGGAAGGCAGCGCGGGGAAAGGCAGCGCGGGGAAAGGCAGCGCGGGGAAAGGCAGCGCGGAGGAAGGGCAGCGCGGGGAAGGGCAGCGGAGACAGAGACGGCAGCGGGGGGAAAGGGGGGGGTGGGGGGGGCGGGAAGGGGGGAGACGGACTTGGTTAGGACGGCAGAGGGGCGCGAGCACGAACGAGAGGGTTGGAAAAAGAGCAGTGGAGGAGTAGGGATGGGATGGAGCACGACACAACAATGCAGCGAGAGCGGGGGAGTGAGGTGCGATGGGGAGGTGGGGCGTACGGTCAGCAATGTACTGAAGGTCAGAATAAATAAAGAATTTGATAAAGAACAAATAAGGAAAAAGTAAATGTTTGACCAGGTGATTGTTGGGGATCGCTGACGTAAGGAGGGAGAGGGTGGGAGGAAAGGGGAGAGAGAGGGCGGAGGGGAGGAGGTTTGCCGGCCTGTTGGGCTAGAAAGCGGTCAGAGCGGCTGGGAAAGAAGCGCTGACCTGAAACGGAAAGGAATGCTACAGGGAGCGGACCTAAGGCAGAAAGGGATGCTGAGGGAACGCACCTAAGGCGGAGACGTCGGGGAGGATGAAGAAGGCGTCTTCCCCGCCGCGGTCGAGCTTGTCGGGATGCGGCAGCACGCACGCGCCCGCCACCAGCCGCAGCGCCTCCTCCTCCTTCGCCGCCTCGGGGGCGCCGCTGCTGCCGCGCGCGCAGAAGCGGGGAGAGGGCAGCAGCGCAGCAGGGAGCACGATGGAAGAGGTAAGGGAAACGCACCCAGACAAGGCGAGAGAAGAAAAGCAAATAAACAACTAAAAACCACAGAACGATGGCGGAGCACGACATGACAGAGTTGCGGCCCCCAAGCGAAATGAAGGTGGTCATGAAATGTCCTGATCTGCTTTTATATATATATTTTTTTTTTACACGAGAGCTCTGTATCCTACAAATGGTGGGAGCAAGAATTGCGAGCGAGTATGGATCGGGCTAAGACGGCGCCGACCGACCTCTTATCGGCGTCGCCGTCGACAGGCCGCGAGCAGAAGGCGAGGCCGGGCACCTGCCCCAGCAGCTGCGCGTCGTGCAGGCGGCGCGTGATCACAGCCGCCGGCGGCGGCGCGCACGGCATCACGCGCCGCCACGTGCCGTAGGGCGCGGCGGAGGTGATCCTCGGCAGCGTCCATGCGGCGCGCGCGGAATCCGCCGCTCCGCCCGCCGATGCTCCGCCCGCCGGTCTGTTACCGCCGCCGTGCGCCAAGCACCACGGCGTCTCCTTCCCCGCGTTGAAATCCGGCGCGCACGGCGCGCCTAGCGACGCGAGGCACGTGGTGGCGATGGAGGTGGAGAGCGGCAGGAGCGGGCGCCATGAGGGGGAGAAGAACGCGGGGGAGGCGTGCGGGGAGGAGGAGCAGGGCGGCGTGCTGAGCGGCCAGATGGGGCTGGTGGTGGGCGTCGCGAGGCAGCGCGATATGGTCTCGCCCGCCGTCAACACCGGCTGCCGGCGCGCCTCATCTGCTGCTGCGCCTTCGATGCCGCTCTGGCATGCGGAGGGGGAGGAGGAGGCGGAGGATTGCGAGGACCGCGCGGGGGAGGCAGAGCACGACGTGGAGCCGCGAGTTTGACCTAACGTTGACCGGAGATTCGTTGACCTATGAAAGAAATTGACTGGCCTGGGAGGCATGCTTGAACGCACGCCCGAGCATAGACGCGAGAGGCACAGACAAAAAGATCCTATCGCCTAAGTCGTAATCGCGTCGCGACAATCTGACATTGACCCATGGTCGCTGAGGCCAACAGGCTCGAAATAGCTTAGTTAAGATTCCGCGGCGAAAATGGTAAATGCAAAGCTTGTGTAGGGGGCAAAACCAATAAAATCGAGGAGGCTAACCCGACGCGTACTAATCGTAAAGATTTAGCTGGTATCTAGGGCTGTTTACTAAGTCCAAATTAAATGTACGCGCCCAACTTATTAGACTTGCTTACGTGAATAACGGCGGCCAAACTAAGGCAGGGATCTACTACCTCTCTCTCATGCCCTACCTCTCTCATGCCCTACCTCACTCACGTCCGCGCCAACCAACCAACCCCAGTAACACCCATCGCAGTGGCCCGCAGGAGGAGTGACCCTGGCAGCTCCGCTCCGCCGCAGCCAGCAAACCCTTCAGCTTTCTGGGAACCCCGCCGCGCCGACCCCTCCGCTGACCTGAGCGGATCCCCCACCCCGACCTGACTCTCCCGAGAATGTCGCACCGCCTCGTCGGCTGTGGTCCATCTGCCCGTGTGAGCCAAGCCAGATCAAGATTCTGTCTGTACTGTACATCGACCCTCCTCTGTTCAACACGGGTGGGTGTCAAACAAGAGGCCCGATCTACAGAAACTTCTGTAGATCGGTCACCATGTCACACGGTCAGTAGCGTTCCTTGAGGAGCTTCAGGGCTAAGTCTAGCACTTACCAAAATACTCCCAGCTTTATATCCAAGCACTCTTGATCCTCCGTGTCGAGGCGGCGGATCACACGCTAACCATCATTTTTGCTCCCCATCTCTCCGCTGACAAAGCCGATTGATGCCACCAACCGAGAGCTGTACGTTGACATACAAGAAGCCAGGACTTGACGCCAAACATGCAACTCAAGACTCGAGCCCTTTAGGGCGTATTCTTGAAATTCAGTTTCTTCCTGCCGTTCACAAACTCCCTTCCTGGTTATGGATGCCGTGTGTTTCGCTATACTGTACAGTACTGCACCGAGAACCAGATTGCTGCACCGAGGACATGAGACCCAAAAAGCCATCCTGATTGGACGTGAAGCGAGGAAACGCGAGTTTCAAGGAACCAACAAGGCAGGAAGCAAACTTCTTGGAGCCTTGGTTGGTTCATTGAATTCGTCCACCTCTCTAACGAGTACACGAGTTTGACCAGTCACTATCCACACCTAGAGTTGTAAGGAATTCTCTAGCATTCCTTACCATGCACCTTGATATGAGTTGTAATGGAAAGACTGCGCAGGATTCAAAATCGCAGAAGTGATAACAAAAAAGCCAAGGTCAGGGTACCGCACATGGTTGGGTGCAGGTTCAGGGTTGGGAAACCCGGAGGCAACACGAGGTACATTTGGAGGGTGAGGTAAGGAATTAGGAAAAAAATCTAACACACCTCAGCAATGTGTAGCCAACCATTTCTTTCCCCCGTTACCACCACCTAGCGGTGTTCGCCACATCGCATGACACACGTCGTGCTGGACTTGGCCGAGTCGGCTTATGCTTCGGGACAATCCCGAACCTCGTTGATAGCATAGCACTAGCTAGGTAGCAACAGGGCTGACGTTTCATATTAGGCCTCCCAGATTCCGGGGAAAAAAATTCCCCTCTATGAGTGCACATTTTTCAGAATGATGCTCCACTGATTGCTCAGGGTTGAAAAGTATATAATTCTGATTTTTCAGAGTCGAAAATAGAATATCAGACTAGTAACACGCCCTTTGGTGGAATAACCGAAAGGCTGTCGAAAGCATTCCCGAAGGCTCTCCACTCTCGCGTTACTTTATAATAAAGTGAGCGCTTATATCAGTACCACAATATCTCATATAGAGCACGCGGAAGATCGAGGGTCACCCGAAGGTCAACAGTCGAAGACAGTCAACGGTCGTGACCCTTGACTACCCAGAAACCGCACAAGGCAGTTGCGAAGTGCAACGTGGTAACTGTCTAGAATGGCAATAGTTGTGGTTACTGTAGCAATGTAATTCAGTTAATAATGGAATGTACTGTCAGAACATATAGCTTATGTTTTTGTGTAGGCTATAGTGGGGTAGCCCATATAGGGTACAACCCAATTAGGGTTAGCACTTGTACCCAACTCTTTCATAGTGTATTCATTCTCGTTTCAGTTTTCTCATGCTATCGAGCAGGTTCCCTCGTGGGAACTGTTCCTAGGGCCCACCGATTCGATTTTTTTTTTCCTGCCCGGAGCGCGCTCAGCCCTTGCCCGAGTCGCGCTCCCCCTTTCTCACTGTGTCGCGCCGCCCTAGCGGCTGTGTCGCGCCGCCCTTGACAGCCCCGATTCGCCACCCTTTCGGCCCCGTCGCCTACCCCGCGGCCCTCGCGCCGCCCTTCCCGACCCGGCCCCGCCCTTGCGGCTCAGTCGCCTACCTGCGGCCCCGTCGCCTACCTGCGGCCCCGCCGTCTACCTGCGGCCCCGCCGCCTACCTGCGGCCCCGTCGCCTACCTGCGGCCCCGCCGCCTACCTGCGGCCCCGTCGCCTACCTGCGGCCCCGTCGCCTACCTGCAGCCCCGCCGCCTACCTGCGGCCCCGCCACCTACCTGCGGCCCCGCCGCCTACCTTCGGCCCCATCGCCTACCTGCGGCCCCGCCGCCTACCTGCGGCCCCGCCGCCTACCTGCGGCCCTGCCGCCTACTTTCGGCCCCGTCGCCTACCTGCGGCCCCGCCGCCTACCTGCGGCCCAGCCGCCTACCTGCGGCCCCGCCGCCTACCTGCGGCCCTGTCGCCTACCCTACGGCCCTGGCGCCGCCCCTTCCCGGCCCCGGCCCAGCCCCTCCTGGCCCCGTCGCACGCCCTTCCCGGCCCCGACCCCGCCTTCGCGCGGCTCCGCCGAGCCACTACCGAGCCGCCAGCGCCACCCGAGCCACCGCGCCACCTGAGCCGCCCGCGCCGCCGTCCTGTCGAGCCGCCTAAGCCGCCCGAGCCGCCCGAGCCGCCGTCTCGCCGAGTCGCCTGAACTGCCCGAGTCGCCTGAGCCGCCCGAGCCGCCCGAGCCGCCCGAGCCGCCCGAGCCGCAGAGTAGCCGAGCCGCCGAGCTGCAGTTCCTGCCGAGCCGCCGAGCTGCAGTTCCTGCCAGGCTGCTGAGCCACCGAGCTGCCCGAGCCGCCCTGTCCGGTAAGAGCAGCGCCTCCGTCACTGCACTGCCCTTACCCCACTGTTCGCGCTACTAGTCTACTGCTGTCATGGCTACCCCTAGTGTCCTCGCTTTTGACGCTGAGGGTCGGGCCATTGACTTTGATGTCTGGGTAGATGACCTGCAGCTTTTCCTACAGTGCGATAGGGAAGACGGTCTCTCCCTCTTTGACCTCACCTCTGGTGCCTCTCCTGCCCGTGCTGCTGATGCTGATGCCACTGTTCGCTCACAGTGGGCCACACGCGATGCTGCTGCTCGTCTTGCTGTGCGTCGCCACCTGCCTACCTCTGAGCGTGCGCACTTTAGCCAGTACAAGAGTGCTCAGACCTTGTACGACGCTGTAGTTGCAAGCTACTCCTCCCCTGCCACTGCTGCACTGAGCCGCCTCATGCTACCGTACCTCTTTCCTGACCTTGCTGCCTTTCCCACAGTCGCTGACCTCATTACCCACCTCCGCACTAGTGACACTCGCTACCGCGCTGCGCTTCCTGTTGAGTTCTGCGCCAAGAACCCCCCCCCCATGTACATCACTCTTTACTATATAGTCACCCGCCTCCCTGATTCCCTTCGCGTAGTCAGGGACCACTTCCTCTCAGTTTGCCCCACCACCCTCATCGTTGACCTCCTCGAGAAGGCCCTCCTAGCAGCGGAGAAGAGCATAGTCGCTGTAGGAGCCTCTCGTGGTGACCCTCGCACCCCCATCTTTGAGGGGTGTTCCCCTTCCCTCGTTTTGCCCTCTGTTGCCTCTGCTGCTGCGGCCGACCTCGTTGGGCTTGAGTCGGTCGGTGCGGCGTCTACCCCTAGCGGGAGACGCCGCCCTGGCAAGGGCAAGGGAGGCAGGGCGCTTGAGGAGCTAGCGGGGGCGGTGGAGGCGGCGGTGGAGGCGGCGGAGGGACTGGGGGTGGCGTTAGGGGTGGTGGCGGGGGCGGAGGTGTCGGTGGCGGCAGTGGAGGCGGAGGCGGCGGCGGTGGCGGTGGGAGCGCAGGTGGTGGCGGAGATGGCGGCGGTGGAAGAGGCGGTGGTGGAGGAGGTGGAGCTGGTTGGGGTGGCGCTACGCAGAGGGTCGGCTCCGGTGGTGGTCAGCGCCAGCAGCAGCAGCAGCAGCAGCGCACTCGTGACATCCCCTCCCCTCAGCAGCTCCGTGAGTGGTACACTGCACGCCAGCGGGGTGGGGGTACTGGTCCGTGCACCTACGTCCTACGCACCAGCGACCGCGCGGGTGACCAGTGCGGGGGTGCGCACTCCACCCAGCGCTGCTTTGGCCGCCTGACGGACGCTTGGCATCACCAGTTCCCTGAGGCCACGGAGATCCCCCGCAGGGGTGAGCTGTCTAGGGCGGGAGTAGCTGTCTTTGACCTTGACTTTGATGCTATTCTTGCTGCCATGTATGCTGTGACTATTAGTGATGAGGGTGACTCTTACCGGTGTTTTCCGCCCGACCTGGGCATTGAGACTGCCGCTCTAGGTACTGGTGAGGCTGCTGCTCTAGGTGCTAGCGAGGCTGCTGCTCTAGGTGCTCGTGCGTCTGCTCCCTCAGGTGCTGGTGAGTCTGCTCTCTCAGGTACTGCGTCGGCTTCGGCCTCCCACACCTTCACCCTTGACTCGGGGGCTTCTCGCTCCTTCTTTCGAGACCGCACCACACTCACGCCGCTTGGCCGGCCAGTTGCAGTCTCTCTGGCAGACCCCTCTGGGGGTCCTGTCCTTGCTCACTTCTCCACTGTCCTCCCGTGTCCGGCGGCCCCCTCTGGCACTCTGTCTGGTCTTTACCT